TGGCCCAGCAGCAGATTCCTCCATCCACACAGTTTAGCGTAGATGGAGGAATCTGTTGCATTTTTTCGATACGACGATAGAAAATCTGCAGATAATCTATAGGTGTATGGCTATCTTACGACCCTGAACCAACAACCCCGAACAAACAGGTGATCATGAACTTCATCCCAACCCAGAAGACAGGACCTTTATTAGTGACAATCTCCTGATGTAAAGGAAGAAAAAAAAATCAAACCTGTGATCCGACATTGCTGGGGACAGAAACTACCATGACAGACATCCTGGGTCGAAAATGTAACTGGTTCACTTCTAGTCCAAAAGACTCAATTTATTCCACGCTGTGTAAATGTTCTGTTGCACGGTTCTCCAGGGAATTGGAGTACACTGAACTGCTTTGAAGGGGGATATCATCAATCCCAGCACTCGCATGCAGCTTTGTAGAGAAGACAGATATTGCCTAATCTAACAGGGCTATTCACAACAGGGTGAAGAGTTTGGAGAAGATAGGAGAAGTGAACAATCAAGGCCAAAATAGCCGATTTGAAAAAACTCTCCAATTCAGCTCTCTTTCCAGTTCAGCTATGTTGTCCTAGATTGTTCACTATTCCTGCCTTCTCCAAACTCTTCAGCCTTTTGTGAATAACCCTGTAAATCTTTGTTAACATCTCCTGGCACAGTGAAAAAAACTTGGCCTGCAAAGCATATCAGAGAAGGTCCAAGTACTCCAAACAATGCAACCAAATCAGAGATGACTTCTCAATGTTAGGATCCATCCAAAGTTCCCCAAAGTCTGCAACGTGATTGACACACTGGCAACCGAAGCCAGGGAGGTCTGATCTCAAAGTAGCAGATAGTAGTATTGAAGCATCAGATACTTGTACAGAGACAAAGAAGACCTAGAACAGGTGTGAGGACCTTGTGTACATTCTTGGGGTCAAGGCAAGATGATAGGAAAGAACAACAAACTGATAGCGGTTGATTTCCATAGGAAAAATAAGGAATCACTGATGACATAATAAATGACACCTGAGACTCTAAAATACGTTCAAAGACGATGTGGGCCTGTAAGTCCGAGTTGGAACGAATGCTTCCTTTGGGATTCGGACCTGTAAACGGTTTTGAGTAAAAACCTAGAAATCATTTGGTTGGGGGAAAAGGAACAATGACCCCCCTAAGTCAACAATCCCTGAAGAGTAGAAAGGAGATCTGGGCCAACATAAAAGACACGGGAAGGCGCAAAACAAAGAATCAAGACAGTGCATGTAGGTGAAAACTCTGTTATGTGTGCCATCACCTGCACCCCTGTCCACCCCTCTCTTCTCATTTCCCTGTGATGAGCTACCCGAGGCAACACACTAGCCTTCACTGATTGCACACGTTGGACTCCACGATTTCCTCCACTGTTCTACATCCATCCGGTTCCGAGATCCACTTAAAAGTAAGTGATCCATCTCCTCTTGCTTCCCTCACTTTGTTTCAATCAGCTTCATAGTCCCTCTAGCCTTGCGCCCTCACGTTTGTTTTTTGGTACCATTCTTTCACTCTCCTTCTCCAGTACTGTATGATACAGTACATTACATACCGGTATCTCTGCTCTGTGTGCCTCAGCATATTTTATTATCTTCAATTAATTAGAGATGTTTTATAAAACAGTTTTATCTCTATTATTTAAATTATAGTAAAAAAAAAAAGTATGTGAGGGGATGCTCAATGGGACATTATAGACTGCATACTGTCCCCATTGAGGATCCCCTCACATACTTTTTTTCTACCATAATTTAGATAAAGAAATATAGAGATAAAGAGTAGAGATAAAACTGTTTTATAAAACATCTCTAATTAATTGATGATAAAATATGCTGAAGCACACTGCAGAGCAGAGATACCGGTATGTAATGTACTGAGAATTGGAGTGAAAGAATGGTACTGTGACTGTTACAGTACGGTACCTGGCTGCAGCTGTCTGGAGGTCTGTAATGCCGTCCAGGGAGCCAATCAGAAATTCCTTCACCTCAACTTCGACCCCACTGGCCATGCCGCTGTGCCTGCTGGGAAACGTAGTTTTCCAGCGGCCGCTCTAATTTCCTAAAAGCCGAGGCAGACGAGTGGACCGGCGGGCAGACGGGCCAACAGGAGGGGGTGAGAGAGGGAGGGAGCTGCGGCGGGCAGAAAGTTTTTTGCCATCTTGCAGACGGTGTCATTGATTTTTACACTCCTTGCTACACTCCAACAGACCCCTTGCTGGCTGCTTGGATGCAGCAATACCGGTACATGTGCGCCCCCCTACCGCCGAACTAGGTCTTATTTTCGGTGGTAGGTCTTATATTACAGAAATCCCTGAAGATAGCAATAGGTCTTATTTTCGGGGTAGGTCTTACTTTCGGGGAAACACGGTAGTAAAAAAATGGGATTTCCCACGCTGCTACCAGTAGTTAAGCCAGAGTGCCCAGCTTGCATGCAGTGCCGCGACAAATAGACAGTTTAACGTGAAAATCATCTGGTCAATGCAATCAATAAGTGTCAACACTAGCAGCTGCCAAATGTTTGTTAAGAGATTTTGACGAGTTAGCAAAAGAATGAGAGAGGAGTAAGGAAGCGAGCAATGGATTTAGGGGCATGGATTGTCAAGGCTTTGCTAGGGCGAGGCACAGGTGGGTTGACCATGGTAGGTGCAGGCCATCACTTGAAAAAATCGTTTAAAGACAGATAGAGTGCCAGGAACCGCTTATGGGTTGATGAGGAAACACCTATGTGGAGTGTTCAGATCTACGAGAGCTGAGCATAGACATTAGGGCTGCAACAACTAATCGACATAATCGATGATTGAAAAAGTTGTCAACTTTTTCAATCATCGATTAATCGGCCTCTGATTAGTTGGCCCTGTTCACGGCTCCACACACGCTGCGCGCCACACCTCCTCCCCACCTCACGCTTGTCGCTTCCAGACCCGCATCCACACGCCACACCTCCTCCCCACCTCACGCCCACCCACATCCACGATTGGCACAGGGATGCGGGAAGAAGTAAGGAGGAGCAGATGTGGGGGGGGGATGACAGGCCTGATCTTAGAAGCAAGTTGCTAGAAGACTGCTCAGGTAAGCCTGCACTTTCCCACACATAGTGCTCTATAATGTATTGCTGGGATTTGTATTCCTCTAGCTGATGGTACATTGTGCTGTATACAGCACAATGTACCATCAGCTAGAGGAATACAAATCCCAGCAATACATTATACATACAGTGTATAATGTATTGCTGGGATTTGTATTCCTCTAGCTGATGGTACATTGTGCTGTATACAGCACAATGTACCATCAGCTAGAGGAATACAAATCCCAGCAATACATTATACATACAGTGTATAATGTATTGCTGGGATTTGTATTCCTCTATAGCTGGTGGTATTCTGCATTGTGCTGTATAATGTACTATTGCTAGGATTTGTTGTATTCCTCTATAGCTGGTGGTATTCTGCATTGTGCTGTATAATGTACTATTGCTGGGTTTTGTAGTCTTCTATATCCGGTGCTAGTCTGCATTCATTGCTGTATAATTTTACACTTTTCATTTCCCTATATTGCACACCACACTTTTTTTTTCTTTTTTACTTCCACCGCTTCAAGCTTGCTCCTGTGATGGACTACAATCTCAATACAAACTAGTAGTCCATTACTGGAGCCATTTTTTAAAATGTATTTTATTTTTTATCCGATTAACCTTACTTAATAATCGCCTAACTAATTGATTTTGAAAATAATCGCCTAACTAATTGATTTTGAAAATAATCGTTAACTGCAGCTCTAATAGACATAGTGCAACGTATAAGAATGGTGGACTCTTCCACAGTTTGGGAGGAACAAACTGCCTTAACTGAAAATTTGGATAGTGGAATGCATTTCTTTTAATGGAGAGAGACTCAGGGGGTGATTTACTAACCTAAACACACACACACACCAGGTGTGTGTGATTTTCACACAGCAAAACGTATTTATCAACCAAAAAGTCTCTAAAAGCATATTTCCACTAATGCCATATATGGAAAAATCATGCACATGATGCATATATAATGCTGCTTCACAGTTTAGACAAAAATGGTTAGCTCATGCATTTACATTCCTTGCATTCATCAACGCAAGCAACACAACATAGAGCTAATTTACCCAACATCACCTTGGAATTCCTTCAGGGCTTTGCACAACACACCTGCTGGGTGTGTACACATTACAAAGGTGTTTAGATTCCACCCATAGATCATGCTGGGAGGGAACACACTGCAGAGGTGTATACACGTTCGTGGTGTGTTTATAAGGTTAGTAAATCAACCCCTCAGTATCAGACAATGCATCTCCAAAGCGAGTAAAAAAAAAAAAAAAAGGAGTAAAAAGAGTGAGCAGAGCTAGCAGGGATTAAATTAATCCACAAAGCATTTAGCATCGCAGCATAAGTCTTCAGCGACAGGGAAGGGAGAAAATGACAGTTCTGGTCCTGATTGTCATGCGATTGCTTGCCAAGTTAACTGGCCTGACCTTAATAGCAGAGTCCTGTGATAACTGGAACGCAGATGGGTTGTCACTGCTGACTGCAGGACCAATGCAGAGAGAACACCAGTATATTTAAAGAACTAGAAAACCTGGGAGAGACTTCCAGGATTTCCAATATTCTGAATCTACTAGTAGCTGTTGATAGTAGAAAATCTTCCCATTTAATAAAAGAATTTCGCTGAAAGGAAAGAGACATTTATTCTCCTAAGGACACTGAGAAACAGAGCAGGTGTGGGTGGCAGGGGTATAAGCCTCTAGGGGCTGGCCTCTAGTTTTCTGTTTACCATGTGTCCATTTCTCCTGTAGGCAGCAGTATAAACCTAGGTTGCTTAATATCCATCAAGCTGTGTCCCTCAATAAATGATAGAGAAACATTTATCATGAAAACTACTTACCTCTAAAGAAAGAATTTCTTCATGCTTTGCTACACAGTTAACAAAAAAGTTTTCCAAAGCTCCTCTTTCTTCCTCTAGTCGTTCCTTTCTGCCATTATCTGGTTCCACAGAGGTAACAACCTGAACATTTAAAGAAAATTATGATATAAAAGTTACACAAACAAAATGGTGCAAAGTAGAACGAAACAAAATGGTGCAAAGTAGAATGGATAAACATGGCTACTAGAAAGATATGTGCATTGTTTGAGTATTTCCATGTGATAACGGAGTATTAAAAGTGGGGATGGAAAATCTGTGACACCCAACCTAGTTTAACTTCAGATGAATAGGCAGGTGGATGAGCAGGTTTACTGCCCAGATAGGTTGGTATAAGGCAAACATTTAGCATGGTTGTAAAGCTGTTTCGGCCTAAGGTTAGTTAGGACAGTTGATGAGCATGATGGTTACTATATGTTACCAGTCTCTCCACGATAGCACTTCAAGAGTTAAAATTAGATATGGGAAAAATCTTTTGCATCTGACTTCAAGGTAAGCCTGGTCTCCTGCTGCATTGCATAGTGATGTGGGGGCCGGTGTAGGGACTACAGCGTGCAGAGGACCAGGCATCTGACACTCTTGAAAGTGTTTCTTCAGTCACCCTAGCTCTGTTACAGAGATGCTACAAGATTAGTAAAGTAGGCAGCCATTAAATAAGATTTTTGTATTTACCATCAAATCTATTTCTTTGTCCTTTAAAAGGGACACCGGAATTCAGAAACAGACGGGTTTTACTGCCATCCTAAAGGAAGTTGGGACACTGGCAAACAGAAAAAATATCAGTGCCTATGCAACCCCTCTTCTACTCAGCATGCCTCAGTTTTGTGAGAAAGCAATACACGGGACAAACAACATGGGTCGTTGTCCCTTATAAGATTAGGATAAATAGACTTTACAGTACGTACAACAATATTATTTTCTCAATCGTCCTTAGAGGGGGAAAAAGGAACTTAGACACAGTCAGGATGTCCAAAAGAAGTCCAGCTGAGAGGTGGGCAACAGCCACTGACTGACCTGAGATGGAACCATGGAGATGGAAACACAGGACAACCACCAAGGTTGTCCTAATGACTCAGATAGGTTCAAAAGGAGGTCTTTGTAAAATAGATTAAACCAAGTTCAAATCCCATGGAGGAAGAAAAGACCTAACAGAAGGTGCCACACGTGGAACACCCTGAATAAAAGTACGAATCAAAGAATTACAAGTAAGAGGACGTTAAAGGGCTGACAAGGCAGATATCTGACTCTTTATGGTAGTTAGAGCTAAACGTTGATCTTCCCTAAGTTGAAGAAAAGAGAAAATTTGCAACGTAGAAAAAGCACGTGGAGAAAACCCCAAGGACACACACCAGCAAAAATAAACCTTGCATGTACATTTATAAATCTTACGAGTAGAAGAAACTAGGGATCGTCTGCTATTAGATGAACCAAATCTGCATACCAAACCCTAAGAAGCCAATCTGGGAGTAATGAGAATAACTAGAATTCCTTTCTGTTCTATCCAGCGAAGCAGACCAGGCAATAGCGTCAGTGGTGGAAAGACCCTTTTTGCACTGGGTTTCCGCCAACCAGCACTTAAACCAGATAGCACTGCTTATCTGAATGGAAGAGACAGACACACAAGACAACAGATGACAAGAATCAAGGAACACATCACATATGAAATGAGAAGCAACAGTTATCTGACCCACACAACCAATAAAACAAGGATCCAATCCAGCACTCTCCTGTTCTGTACATAAAGATTTCGTCCAAGTAGCCAACGTTTGGCAAATAAGGACCATAGTCAATAATGGTTGAAGAGCCGAATAAATTAATAAATGGTACAAATAAATGCTACGAGAAAGATTCTACAAATTTTTGTCAGTAGGATCCTTAAACAAAGAAGGGTCATCAGTAGGAATAATCAACGCCTTGTTAAGACAAGAAATTGGAGAATCAACTTCAGGAGAAATGGAGCATTTTTTTTAATACAAAATCATCTGGAAAACGATACAGATACTTAAAAAGTGACACTAAACTGAGTTAAATCTTAAAAATGTATTCAAGTACTTTAAATGTCAACAAAAATGTAGCATGTGTATCACTCAAATGTGTACATGTGTATCACTCAAATGTGTACATCCTCAAATCTCTGAACTGGTGCGGGCACTGAACTTCCTTGTGGAGGGTGGCTATTTTTGTTCCTGATGGTCCCTGTGTGTGTTGTAAAGCAGCCACTACTCCAAGCTTGCTCCCGTGATAGACTATGAATTCAGTACAAATTGGCTAACTAAAAGGTGATATTATAGTCCATCACAGGAGCAATCTTGGAGTGGTGGCTACTTTACGTCATCAAATCAAAGTCCCAACCTCTAAAAGAGACAGCGGGAAATTTAAATAAATTCAGGCAATCGCCAAATAAAAAAGCATTAGCCAAAAAGGATTCTAAAAGCACACAGCCCAAGTAAAACGAGGGGGAAAAAAACCTAACCTTATAAACATTCAGTAAATACACTTTTACTCACGACTCCATGGCCCTGTTCCCGACATATCGGGAATCACCAGGTAATACTGGCCTGACCGTTAGATTAAAACAGGAATGCAGGACCACTGTGGGTCAAAGCATAAGTACTGAGATCAGAACTTCATGACAACTAGAAAAACTAGAACTAGACAAACTTCCAGGATTTAACTTATCTGGCATGAATCTCTCAATTTTGTCAGCTAGCAAGAGACTTCCAGGATTTAAGAATATCTGGTATGAATCCACTAGCAGCTCTTGGTAGCAGAATCTTCAGCGAAGAAACAAAATAAAATAAAAAAGCAGAAGGAGACATCCATTTTCCTGAGGACCCTAAGCAAAAACTGTCAGGTGTGAGGGGTTATGTCTTTAAAGTGGGTGGTTTTTAAATTTTTTTGTTGTTGCCTAGTGTCTCCTGGAGACAGCAGCATAACCTTATATCTCAGAATTCTTCAGAGCGGTGTAGCTCAATGGACGAAAGAGAAAATTATTCAACAAGCAGCTAAAAAGTGACATTTAGGGTGTTGTAGGACGATACACGATAAAATATTTCTTATAATGAGACAAATAGTTCATATGAATATTTTAAAATTTTCACAGGTAGGCGTTCTCCGCTTCATTTCACATATTTGTTTCTTCTTACCACTTATGTCTGTCTCCAGAGCCATAACTGGGATTTACACACAGAACTGAATGAGGACTGACTCATTCAGTTACAGGCAGCCTGTCTAAAAGGAGATAACTATAGCTTACCTTGTTTAAAAAAGATATTACACGATTCTTGATGTCTTCTGAATTCATGCTTTGTGGAACAATTTCTTCATAGCTGGTTTCCTTATAAACAGTTTTAAGTTAGTTAAAAAGAAAATGTAGAGCAGAATATTAACTATCTTTCTTTCTCATTTTACCGTAAAGAAGTGTCATAAAAGATCAGATCACTATATGAAAGGGCTTCATATAACTGAAAGTGTAACTTATAAATCAAAAGAATACCCTAGAATAAACCGAGATAAAGCCATTTTTAAATCCCGTATATGACTGAAGTACAGATGGCATTTGAGTAATATTGAGACTGCCATTGCTGGTAATGCTGCTAATAAAAAAGGTAACCTGGCTGTGTCTGGCTTCAATATTTCAGAGTGACAGTCAAAGCATGCAGCAGAGAAAATTGGAATTCCTCATCTACATGGTTATATTGAATCAGTAATTTAAAGTATTAAACATATTTCTTGCATCCTTTAACAAGTACTGCTCCAAAACATTCCTGTAGCAGAGAACAAAACCCATTTTAAGATCATAAGTTTGTTTCAAAATCTGCATTTAAAATGATCATCACTTTTTAACTGATAACCCATAAGCCTGAACTTGCTGACACAAGACACAAAATCAAAGTCAAACAACTTTATCTTAAGCAGTATTTGTGCAATATTTGATTGCATTTATACGCATGTTCTGTCACATGTAAACAAATACTGTACCAAACCTGATTTTTTTTTAAACACTGACTCAAGAGCTGCTACATATTATACAAATATAAATCATTAAGTGCAAATATACTGTATACCTCAGCAAACCGAGTGAATGTCTCCAATGCATGCTGATTGACTAGCCACACTGGATCTGAAAGAAGCAAGGAAAACAAACTTGCTACCTTTGGCAGCACCACAATCTGAAATACAAAACATAGTAAATTATGAACCGTTAACGGATCTTGACATCATCACTCAGTTTATATTTAAAGGATAAAATAAGTTTTAAAACACAATAGTTATTTTACTATATGAAGGAACATTAAGCAACTTGAAAAGATGACCTCTTTATTCTTTCTTTTCCTGTGATTCAATAGTGCCCTTAGCATTAAGGTTTTTAGAGAGCAAGAATGTCAACAGTCCATCACCAAGAACAAGGAAGGCATCAGAAACCCCTCCATGAATAACAATGTTTAAACTGCACTCTCACTTAGTACCAAGCCAAGCCTTGCTAATGTCCATATCCCAGCTAATGTAATCTCAGCCAGCCATCTGATGAAGGCAAATTGCATATCTAGATGGATTGCTGATGCATTTCCTGTGCTCTGACACACCCCCAGCAACTTTGCTGAAAGAATATTCAGCTGTCACTTCAGATAGGCTAATTGGTCACTCAAAAATAAGGTCTAGAATATGTATCACATTCAATCTCTCTCTGAATGCATTCTCCAAAAGGAAAGTAATTCAGAAATACTTTAGCAAGACATCCCTACTCCTTATAGTTTTCATAGGGTCACCAGTCTAGATACACAACAAAAGGATCACAAGTGTGAGCAAAAATCCCTTTTTAATGTCCTAACATGTTATAGCATAAACATTTGATTCACATTGTTTTTTTTCTTCTTTTTACCAAATACAGAATGCAGTGTAAAGCTGTAAGAATCAGAGGTGTAGAACATTTCCACTCATATCTGAACATAATAGTTGGCTACAAATGTGTTTTTTATAGCAAAGTTCGGACATGTTAAAGGTTACCTGGGCTTCTTGAGGAATGAGAATGCTAGCTAAGCTGAATAAAAATTCCAACACTGACAATTTTATATGCGAAGGAGCATCCTCTTGACACACAGTAGGGATTAGAGACACAACCTAGTAATAGAAAAAAAAAAAGTTAGGCAAATCATTCCAAATGTAGCAAGCACTAGAATAATTAAATTGAAAGAAATTGCATTCTGTAAAGTCATAGTAAGGCTGATATACTAAATGTTTTGGTAGGTTTACATGTTTAAACTTGTAACAAAATGCAATACAAATAACTTGATCAAATAAAGAGACAGCACAGCAGGCCCCTGGAAGTCTGGAGGCACTCACCAAAAAACAACATTCACTACTTTCACTTGAGTAATCAAACGTATCACAGCAAAAAGGTTCCAACCACCTCATAACTTATAGTAGCAGTGTTATTACAAGAGCTTAGCCAAGGGATAAAAGGAATGTTTCTGAACAGACAATGGAGAGGTGTCCAAATGGTACTTAAATAGTTTTTCAGGGCAATGCTATGCCTTATGGATTTAGACTATTTGTATCAGATTTTAACACCAAAAACCCGAATGCTGGATGGGTTGTCAAGAGACTTTATACACATGATTTGCAAGCCCTAAACTGCAAACATTTTGGTTGAACTTTGTGAAAGATGTCATTACTGCACCATTTTTACAACTCTTTTTTTTTTAAATTTTATTTCTCAAGTTAGTTTACCCATCTTTGATACACATGCTTTTGGTGAGTATTTATTTTGGGCTAACAAATAACGCAGAGATCCCCATATGTGTATAATGATCATACATTTCTTACAAACTAAACTACTAGGGTTCTGGTCAACTAAATATAAAATCACCTTGACAGGAACGTCTTCCTTTCACTCCTCTCACTCTAACTCCACTATGTCTTCTGATTGTAAATACAGATTACTCGGCCATTGCATTTCATGTGCACCT